TTTTTAAAAAATATGTTATTTATTTATTAGAGAGAGAGTGAGAGAGAGAGCATGAGATGAGAGAGGGTCAGAGGGAGAAGCAGACTCCCCGCTGAGCAGGGAGCCCGATGTGGGACTCGATCCTGGGACTCCAGGATCATGACCTGAGCCGAAGGCAGTCGCTTAACCAACTGAGCCACCCAGGCACTCCCCAGGTGATTCTATCACTTAAAAGTTTCAGAAGCAGCAGCCTGATTGGTAGCCCGAGTGATTGTTTAAAGCATAAGTCAAAAGCTGTCTCTACTTGCCTAAAATGCTTCATTGGTTTTCTGCTGCTCCTACAGTAAAATACAAACTCCAGGTTGAGATATACAAGGTTTGGCATATTTGAATCTCTCCTGACCCCTCGGTCTCAGCTCTTCACTCTCTTTCCCTGGCTCTCTGTGCCACAACAACACTGATCTCCTCTCAGTTTGCTGAACTTGCCATATCCTTTCCCACATTTGGTCTTACTCTTCCAACCATCTGAGACACTCTTCCCCTAAATCTCAGCAACCCGACTCATTTTCGGCTTTCAGCTTTCAGCTCAAATATCATTACCATAGAAAAAGCCTTCTGACTTCTGTTGGTCTCTCTGACTAATGTGGCCACCCACAGACCTCCTCCTAACTCTCTGCCATAACACCCTGGTTATTTCCCTGATGGTAGTAATCACAGCATGCAGTTATATTGTTGACTTATGTGTCATATGTTCATTGCCTATACCTCTGATTAGAAATCAAGCTCTATGAGGCCAGAGGTATTATTTATTTTGTTCATGGTTTTGCCCTAAGTGCACAGAATAGTGACTGACCCACAGTAGTCAGTTATATGATTCAAAAGAAAACTCAGGGAACTTACTGCTCTATCATTCTACTGGTTGAATGCATGAAGGAATGGAGGAATGAATGAATGTTCTGGCCTTCCTTTCTGTCTCCCTTTTCCATTCTTCTCATCCCCACCCTAGCAATTCTCAACATTGTGTATATTCTCTTTGCTTAAGTATGTGGTACAATTTAGTTCTCTCTGGCCCTTATTCTCCAGACTCAGATCCTGGCCTTTCTTTGTTCAGTGGGGTCTGTCAAATAATTATATCCACCTGGGTCTCAGCCTGTCTCCACTCAACCGACCTCACTTTATCAGGTATAATCTGAATGAGCTGGGCCAACTCAAAGGCTAGTAACCCCATCATGAAATATCTAAAAGAAAAAAGAAAAAAGACATATCCTAAAGGCTTTGGAAAGTAGAAAAGTGACCTCAAGTCAAATAATCACGAGCACATGTCAAAGTTTTATTTCAAATTATTGCAAGAGAAAAGCTCCTCAGGAAACAAATTCAAATAATTAGCCTTGTTAGAGACATTTCACAGGAGAATAGATTTTTTTTTAAAGTCTGATTAAAGATCATTAGTATGGTCAGAGGACTGATTCATAATTATTCTACTTTTGAATGTGCACTGGATATTAAGTTCCTCAGATTATTAATAATCATTTGAGTGTGTAACACTAATTTCCCAGAAGGAGTTTTTATTTCTTTAAAGTATATCAGAAAATTGCTCTAGCATTTTATCAGAAATGATAAGTCCCATATGGGGCTATACATTACATCCTTCAAAGAAAGTCCATTCTAGACCAGTTTGGGGAAACTTACCTTTCTCAAAGGCATTCAGATCTTAACTGTAGTATTTATAAATGTGGGCAGGACTTGGATCTTAACCTTCTTACAAGCTTACTAGCTTTTTATTGTTTCTTTGATGCTGTTATTGATGACACAGAATTCCTAGGTCAGAGACAAAGCATTTTATCTTTGCAAAGCAAGAACATTGGCATATTTGCTTCAGCTGCATTTGCTCTTAAAATCCTCATAGGTGATATAATGGGTGCACAGGGATGCTATGCAGGCAGTGGAATTGTGTCATAGCTAAGGAACACTGAGCTTGGGGAATTTACTGCTTTTTTAGCAAGCAGCAAGCAAGCTTGCTCTTTGTCTCCAAGAAGATATTACCTCATTGCTCAAGGTTGCTTGCTGCAAGCACAACCCTAAAAATTGTTTCAGGTTGAGTGGTCATGGCCTTACATTACTAGCACACCCAGCAAGATGTGTAGAAGTATGAAAGATTCATAGTAGATTGTCTTTCAATAACAACCACTCCACAGGTCTTACACTGTGAGTTTCTAGAAATGTTTCATGAATATGTCAGTCCATCAGCCATCCTGATTAATCTGACTGACAGAGAACAAGACAAATCCATTCAATTTATCTTAACAGCGATTAATTAAAGCTGCAGAACTCTAAGCAGCAGGATGACACCAATTTGCAGCATTAACCTCAACCGATTCAGTCAACTGTGAATAAGTCCCAGAATACAGACAGCTAGGATATAGGGTAATATTCATTATGATCCATGCGAAGGAGTTTAGACTGACACACTGATCTTTGGTTTAATTGTCAAAAAAAAAAAAAAAGACCAAGAAACAACCACATTCCCGATAAAAGCATGTTTTGTGGCCCCTTTTCTCCCCAGACATAAACGTATAACCCAAAGGGGCACAAGTTAATCCAGTTTGGAATTTATTGTTAAACTTGATTAGAGTCAGCGTTACATCACTTTGGTTAAGCTGTATGAGCATTGTTACTGAGTATTTGCAAACTCTATAGCAATTCATGAGGCATAACTCAAGACTGCTTGGACATCAGAAGCATATACATTGGTACCAGTCGATTGAAAAAAGGCTGTGCTGATATGTTTGTGTACATATGGGGATGGGAATCCAGGTTGGGAAGCTTCCATTGATGGCATCAGGCACAGCAGAATAATTCAGGACAGGCCATATTCATATCAGTTTTTCTGTTTTCATAGAATGTGGAAGAGGGTGACAAACCAGGGGAGGTCAAATTGCCAACCGCAGCTGTTGCTTGGCCCCAGCAGACCGTATGGTTGTTTTGCTAGGCAACAGTGCTGGACACTTTGTGCTAGCAACCAAAGACAGCATTCATCCCTCACCCTTCCTTGCCTCTCAGGGTCTAAGGTTTTCCTTTCCTGGGTGCCAGGGTTGTTGCTCTTTCTCCACCACCACAAAATTGGAGATTTTTATATACATGAAAACAGACACATCTTTACCCATTGTGTGCTCATTAGCAACACTGTATTGTTTATGCACTTGATTTTTACATCCTACAGGAAAAAAGAGGAGATACAAACAATGTCTGGCTCAGCCATGTCATCAGTAACCAGACGTGGACCAGAAGCATGTTTGAAATATGTGAGCTCAAATGGACACAAAATTACTAACATCTGCAATATCATGAGGTAAATTCCCTTTGGTTGGGAGCCTGCTCTGTAGTACTTTGAGGTTAACAAGACATATCTAAAAAATGTACTAGTGTAGAAATTGAAGACTACTTAAATCAAATGAGAGAGGGGACTGTGGATTTTCTTTTTGATTGATTGCCTCAGCACTGTCCTTCCAACATCTGAAGGAGTTCCATATATTCTTTAGACAGCGTTAGGCATGGAAGCTTCTGCAGGCAGGACAACGTTGATGTTATGTGGATTTTGTCATTTTGCCAGCATGGACATGGCTTTGCATCCACCGCAGTATTAGGTCTATTAGCCATTTATATTAATTTTTGTGATAAATCTTAAAAAAGGTGGGGTGCTTCATATAAAGACTGTGCTTCAGGTCCACATTCTATTTTTAAAGATTTATATTTGGTGTTGATAAATTTCCTAAGACCGTGGTGGTTGCCATCTTCTGTGGCTGTCCCATCTCCTTTGGTTTTTACCTTTACTGAGAAATCGCTACATGGTTTTTGTCAAATGGAATGTACTCTTAGAAAAAGACATTCTAATATTAGCATCTTTTCCCTCATTCTGTTTCTGACACAGTTTTCAGTGGGAATGGGAAGGGCCTTACTGGTCCCTCGCGTCTGGAGACTGATTACATGGCTCCTGAACAGAAGAGGGCCGTGCCACAGCTGATCAGTAGCCACCAGCTTCTGCGAGGACACGGGGCAGGTTGTGCAATAGGAAGCACAGCTGTTGGGTGTGCTTGTTTCTCTGTAGCCCCAGCGAAGCTTCTGGCATACATTGCCCTCTGATAAATCTGGTTTGCTGGCTAGGGTAGGATGGAGATGCAGAGATTGCAAGACCAGATCTGTAACTTTTGGAAATGAATCTCTAAATACTGGGGCTTTATGCAAGAAAAGGAAATAAGAGGAATTAGACAAATGAACAGGGACACTAGGTTTTATTTATAGTCTAGATATTGAAGTCAGGTCCATCTTTATAGTAATAATAATAATAATAATAGCTCTAGTAAGCACTATTTTGACACAAATGTGTCATTGGTGCAAAATGGTATGAAGAATCCCAAGTTCCTATAGTCCTTGGTCTTGCTAAAAAAATATTGCTCAAGTTTTGAGCTGGAAATATGTTTATTTGGTCAGATTTTAAGCCACCTGTCTTGAAAGGATTCTTTTGAGTTAGAATAAATTCCTTTAAAAATTGGAAGTGAGGGAATGAGATAGGAAGTGTCTGGCCTGATGTGGAGAAGAGTTACACAATATGAAATGCTCCTTGAATTACAAGAACCTCACTGGGCTTCTAAAATAGAATACTCTATGACTGCTTTTTCAGTGCAGGAAAGTGGCTGTTTTCTATAATTGCTTTTGCTCAGATAAGCATTGTCATTTAATGTAAAACACATACACATCTCCCTCTCCCCACACACATTGACTTGGACCATCTGCTTCTTAAATTTTTAATTCTACTAAAGTGGCAGATTTTTACAGCTATCAGTTCATATAATAAGGGTCTACATTTTGAACATTTCTTTGATCACTACCATGAGTCCACAAGATGGCAGTGTTTTCTCAGGGAGTGAAGAGAGCTCTCTCTCGCGCGCGCGCGCGCGAGTGTGTGTGAGAGAGAGAGAGAGAGAAGGAGACGAGAGGAGGGGCTTGATGGTGTAGCAGGGGTGGTGAAAAAAGTCTGTTTTTTCCTAATTGGTAGGAAAGCAGAAGAATTTGAAATGTCTGAGCTAGACTCATTTTTTTTTTAGGGCTTAAAATCTGAATCCACAGTGAAGCAGGGGAGGAAAGAACGATGAAGTCCTCAAGAGTTTTACTAGTGATCCTGTGGCTTCAGTTAACCTGTGAGTTTTGGGAATCTCTCTGGGAATATAAAGTACAATATTTGGAGTTATTATCTATTCTGGGCCTGTGGGTAGAAACATGAATATTTTTCCCCCACTAAGGGAGTGTTGGGGTAGGAGGCCTGTGAAAATTCATTTAAACTCTGGAGAGTAAGGATTCACTACCCAGTGAATATCCTTTGACTGACCACTGTCTTTTTGCATAGGGATGAGGAGTCAACAGAAGGGAGTGGAGCAGAGTCCTGGATCTCTGAGCGTTCTGGAGGGAGCCACGGCCTCTCTCAACTGCAATTATAGTGACAGTGCTTCCCAGTACTTCATGTGGTACAGACAGTATTCCGGGAAGGGTCCCGAGTTGCTGATGTACATGTACTCCAAAGGTGACAAAAAGGAAGGAAGATTTTGGGGGCAGGTCGATACAGCAAAACAATACGTTTCCCTGCTCATCAGAGACTCCCAGCCCAGCGACTCAGCCACCTACCTCTGTGCAGTAAGCACACAGTTGTCTCCTGGCACCTGCTGTCTGCACCCAAACCCACTAGGGCCCCAGCAATGCCTGATATAGAGCCTAGGCTTCAGGGTAGAGAAATTCTGTTTGCTCCCTAGATGCACACGGGAATTAAGAGCATTACCCATAGCCATAAAATGCCTTATACCCACCCGCAGAGCGTGGGAGCACAGAATGACTTCAGATTTCCTGAGAAGAATCTCCAAAAAAGTACCTAAAAGAATTCCAGACACAGAGGAGCTTTGTTATGGTGATTAAAGACCTGATTGGATCAATTATAAAAACCATATGGTATTGAAGATGTCTCAGAAAATATTGGTGAGGGAAGTTGATAACACCAAAGATTATATGAAGGCTCCCCTCCCCTGACTCCTTGGCACTTTGGAATTGCCCCACAACTTATGTCCAAGTCCAGGAAAAGTGTTTGTGGCCTGATAGAAATAAGGCCTTGTAATGGATGTTACAATTAAAGGGGGAAAATGTAAAAGTCACATTTATTGTAAAGTTGAAGATGTGGGCTGTTAGACAAGACATTGTTTATGTAGTCCAAAGAGTGGGAAAACCTGGAAATGGGGAGTTAAGATTTCTGTTCAATTTTGTTCCCATAGTCACTGATTAAAAGGATGCAACCCAGTCAGGACTTGCTTCAAATTCTCAATCTGTGGACTGAAGACTCTTCACAAATATTTCCGAATCATGGAAGACAGATCTGAAAGGCAGTGAGAAGAAGCAGGAAGTTGTGCTGGATCAAGATACTTGGATTCTAGTTCTATTTGTGTTGTGTGTCTTCTGGTGTCATGGTGCACTGGAAAGAATTTGGCCTGTGGTGCCAGTTTGAATGTCTTTTATGTTACTGATGGGCCATTTGATCTTAGGCCCATATTATATATATTTCTCTTTTTTAAAAAAGATTTTATTGATTGATTGATTGATTGATTATGTACAAGAGGGGGGAGGGACATAAGAAGAGGGAGAGAAAGAATTGCAAGCAGACTCCACACTGAGCTGGAAGCCTGACCTGGGGCTCGATCTCATGACCCTGCAATCATGACCTGAACTGAAATCAAGAGTTGGACACTTAACCAATCGAGCCACCCAGGTCCCCCAGCCCATAGTCTATATATTTCTATCATATATATTTCAGGATTGATTTCTGGAATAAATGAGATTCTCTCTATATTTTACTATGCTTTTCACATGTTAGTATAGTAGCTGGACGGAGCATACAGAGGGAGACTAACATAGCTAATCCACACACAGACGTTCAGTTTGTCCCCTGTGTTCTGTCCCTCCTGCCCTCCATCATACTCTTTCTCAGCCCAGAACCTCTTCAGGGTCCTAAGAAGTAAATTTTCTTCACTCACGTTTCTACTGACATCTTCTCATGCTTCGTTCTGGGCTATGCTTTTCCCCTCTCTCACTCACCACTGTGTTCACATCTACGTTCCCTCTTATGGGATTGTTGATATCTTTTATATTTTTATTATTTTCCCATTATGGATTTAAGTTCATCTCATTTATGCTTCCAAATTTTATTTCAGTGGCAATTTTGGGAAGAAAGGAGGAGAGTACATACGCTTAGTCAGATATTTTGAATCAGAAACATATCCCGGTACATTTAAAATTTCAAACTGGCTGTGTGATTTGGTTCCACGTGTGAAAGAAATCTATAGGCAGGGTCAAGAAATAAATCAGAAGCCAGAGGGAGAACTGATTCCAGGCTGGTGCAAGTCAACAAAGGATGCAGAAAGCATTGAGTTGTTCTGTCCTTCTGAAAAGGACTCCTGTTGACCAGATTGTCATTTCACCTGAGATTTCTCTTTTTAGTTATTTCAGTTTTAAGATTTCAGTGGTCTCTAAAATAAGCCGAGGAGGGAAGTCTTCTCCCTTCAGAGTTTCGTCTTGCTATTAGCGCATAGAGCAGACTCCCCCCGGTCAATAGGCCCTGTGCCTGCTGTGTAGACTGTGTTGCTTCACTACACTGAGTGTCCCTGACGATCTACTTCCATGGCTTCTACACCCGCCCCTGGAGGTTCCTCTCATTTCCGTTATGCTGGCTGCACTCCGTCCAGCCTTGAGTTTCACTATTTTTTCTCTTTCCTCAATTCCTTCTAGAATCACTTATTTATATGTCATATTTTCCTTACAATTATAATTCTGCTCACTTTTCTGCAAATGCTCCTCTGTCAATGTTCTTTTTAGTGTGAGGTCCCCATCATTTGCCAAAATATATCAGTCTGTTCTGACCGTCGACAATTAGAACAGGACTCTCCCTTTCTCCACTTAAACATGGGGTGCCCAAGTTACTCTCCCATAGCCTAAACACACACCAAACGTGTTCACCTGAAACCAAGGAATCTTCTTCACACTTTCTGCCTGACAAAAAAAAAGTTATCGCCTTAGTAAGTTTGCACTGATTAGATAATGTCACATCTTCCAGGCTAATTGTAAGTATCATTCAGCAGCACAAGGCCACATGAAGGTCAGCTCAGCTGAGGCAATTGATTTTAGTCATTCTGCCTGATGAATGGCTTTAAAAGGTAATATAGAGCCTCTCAGTGGTACACCAAAGTCTAGAATATTGTCTTCTGTGACTAATTTCTCAGTGAAGTAAATTACTCTTCCATTTTTACAAAGCTCCCATTTCTCCCTTATTTTAGGATTAATGCCATGTACTACAGAAGGTGACATCATCACAGATTCAGGGAGGAAGAAACACTTTCTGTTGAAGTTCTGATGATCACCTCTCTGAAAAGAGAACAGAAGACAGCTAGCTCTCTTAGATCTTTGGCCCTGCCTCTGGAGGCAGAGGGTGATGCTGCACAGATGAGACGTTTGTTCTGGTTGCAGGTCATCACCAGACACTCAGCCCCTCCTCCCTGCAGTGCTGACATCTGTGAAGACAGGTGTCTTCTTGTGACAAGAAGAGGCCAGAAGAGGAAGACTCCTTCTCACAGTCTGAAACTCGTCAAAGCATGGGACTTGTCTAGCCCAACCTCCCCACTCTTCCTGTAGCTCTGAAGGCTCAGTGACCTTGGCTACTGTCCCACCTGCTGAGGAGCCCGCAGTGTCTCCACTGCTCAGCCATGCTCCTGCTGCTCATCTCAGTGCTTGAGGTGATTTTTGCCCCAAGTGAGTAACATTCCCTTTCCTTTGCTTCCTAAACAAAAGTGACTGTGTTCTAATCGGATGCAGAATAAAGACACCTTCTCTTAATAGGTAAGTCTGTCTTGGACTCACTGACTCAGGATTGATGTTTCAGGAGGAACCGGAGCCCAGTCGGTGACCCAGCCTGATGCCCACGTCACTGTTTCTGAAGAAGCCTTTCTGGAGCTGAGATGCAACTATTCCTATAGTGGAACTCCTTATCTCTACTGGTATGTGCAGTACCCCAACCAAGGTCTCCAGCTTCTCCTCCAGTACGTATCAGGGAACACCAAGGTTCAAGGTATCAAAGGTTTCAAGGCTGAATTTAAGGACAGTGAAACCTCTTTCCACCTGAAGAAACCCTCAGCCCGTTGGAGCGACTCAGCTGTGTACTTCTGCGCTGTGAGTGACACAGTGCCTGGGACTGCAGGGGGAGCCGAACGCAAACCTCCTGAGACACTGGGACTTCTTGTGACTCAAAAACTCAAGAGAGAGTTTTCCAAGATCTTATTTCAGGGAAGGAAAATAGGGCAGGACAGGCTGGGCTCTGGGGAACACTTACCTCCTGAAGAGTTGCTTCAACAGCAATGCTGTGCTACATTCAGATAGACTTTGTTCCAGATGGAGGTCTTCTGATGAGTTTCTCCAGGAGAGAGGCACCCCACCAATTCCCCACCCCACTCCTACTCTGAGTATATCATTAAGTGTCAGAGTTCTGAAATGAAAAAGGCAAGAGCATTTTTATTAAAAAAAAAACATTTCTAGCATTCATTAAGGTAATTAGCACTGCCTCAGGTGTTGATCTACACGTGGAAAACTGAAGTACTTGGTTATAATGTTAGCTGACAAGCTATGCCATGTACATTCTCGACGAAGGCAACACGTACGGCATAGATTCTTAATCAGTTCAATATAGAGTCTCAACCTAGATTTGAAGCTTAACTTCTAGCACATACATAGTATCTGTGCGATACTAACATATTTTAAAGTAAAGTAGACATCACGATATCTAGATTTCCAATCTTGTGTAACACAAAACCAGTGAACCTATTTTACATGATTCTTAAAGCAACATTGAGAATCTAAAAGCCACCCAATCATAATTGTTTTTTGAAATAGTTATCCCAGTGATTTCCAAATTAAAAATTTGAGGCTCCTAACCCATAAATAGGTATCAAATATAATATCTGCTGAAAAACTCTTAGGTATTTTGTAAGAAATCACACTAATTCATGATATAATATAAAATCACATACTCAACAAAGATTTCTAATCTTTCAAAACACATTAACAAATTTCATAGGAAAATCGATCTCCACGACCAAAGTTCATGGTATCAAAGATTACATTAATTCTAATAGGGATATCCAAAACCAGGGAATATTTTTATTTCCTCTGAAACAACTGTATCAAAGAGCTCACATGTTTAAGATACTATATATACATGATTATGAGTCTAAATTACTATTTGTGATTTATGTGATTAAAAAAATTGCCCCCAAAATGTTATAAAAGTTTATACACACAGAGATTAAACCTCACAGAGCAGAAATTAATTTTGAAATTAGCAATAAAGTAAGCAATTATACTTCATGTCCCCCAAATTCTTTCTACATATCTGTTCATCTCCTCTTTTTTTCAAAGATTATTTTTAAGTAACCTCCACACCCAGCATGAGGCTCAAAGTTACAACCCAGAGATTATGAGTCACATGCTCCACCGACCAAACCAGCCAGGCACCCCTATCTCCCCCTCTTTTATTTTCATCTGGGAAACATCTCTAGTACACTCCAAAAATAATATTTCTACTTAATCTATTGATAACATTCCTTTCTATCTTTTTTGGAAAAAGGACAAAATGATCACGTTCTTATTAAATCTTTGTCTAACTGTCCTCTAAGAAATGTCTGCTTATTTCTGGATTCATTTTGTACTTTTCTGGGATGTTATTTGGGATATGAATACACACACACTTACATGTTTGTCTTTCCTGCTGTACCTCAGTGTTGCTGAGCGGTGGGGGGTGGGAGGGACGGGGTGGCTGGGTGACAGACATTGGGGAGGGTATGTGCTATGGTGAGCGCTGTGAATTGTGCAAGACTGTTGAATCACAGATCTGTACCTCTGAAACAAATAATGCAAGATAAGTTAAGAAAAAAGAAAAAGAAGAAGATAGCAGGAGGGGAAGAAGGAAAGGGAGTAAGTCGGAGGGGGAGACGAACCATGAGAGTGGATGGACTCTGAAAAACAAACTGAGGGTTCTAGAGGCGAGGAGGGTGGGGGGATGGGTTAGCCTGGTGATGGGTATTAAAGAGGGCACGTATTGAATGGAGCACTGGGTGTTATGCACAAACAATGAATCATGGAACACTACATCCAGAACTAATGATGTAATGTATGGTGATTAACATAACAATAAAAATTAAAAATAAAAAGAGTAGTGACAATGTTTCATTCAGTTTTTGATTTCTTAAGACCTAGCACAAGATCTAGTTTAAGAAGACCTTCAATAAATTGCTGTGGACCGGAGAAATTACATGCAACCCAGAAGGTGTAATTTGACAAAATATTTTAAGATAGTAACCTTTAGGGCGCCTGGGTGGCTCAGTTGGTTAAGCGACTGCCTTCGGCTCAGGTCATTTGGGCTCCCTGCTCAGCGGGGGAGCCTGCTTCTCTCTCTGCCTCTGCCCGCCACTCCCCCTGCTTGTGCTCTTTCTCTCTGTCAAATAAAGAAATAAAAATCTTTTAAAAAAAGATAGTAACCTTTATTAAATAGCATTTTGACGAAGAAACGAGTTTACTTAAAACAAAACAAAACAAAACAAAACAAAACAAAACAAAAACCCCAGCCTGGTTTTCGACCAGTAGGGGGCACTCTAGGCATTACTCTAAATGCGCAACTTTTTCCCTCCAGTTCTGAGATTGTTGAAAGTTAGTGAAAATTTGAATGAGGGCTAGCAGCAGTTAGGAGAGCATCTGGACTAGTCATACCTTGTCAGGACAGGGAGCTCTCCATATATTCATCTGGGAGGACGGTCTGCTGCTCTGATGGGTGTGACAGAGAGGACTCAAGGCAGAATTGAGCATCATCTAGAGCAAAGGGACAGCTGGAAGCTCCAGGAGAAAACATTTACATTACTAATTTACCGTTTTGGTGTTTATGACTAAAAATTATAAAATATGAGCCTTTATTCTCACTTCAAAATTATTCCAATGATTTCTACCTTCTGTTATACCTCTTCTGAGATTAGAAAAACAGGAAAAAAAGATGAGAAGATGAAATGGAAGAAAAATAATGGGCACAGAGAGAGAGAGAGGAGAAAAGAGAGTGAAGAGATGAGAGATTGGGGAGAAAGAAATAAGACATAGTTACTTGAATTTCAAAATGTGGCCTATACTTCATAGTCACAGAACAGAATCAGCCAAGTATACCTGCAAGGTGTACGGGGGAAATGTTGGACAAGAGAAGAAGGGGGATAGAAATGAGGTGGCCATCATACACGTTCTATTTCTTTCCATCAATCAAAGTCTTATTGGAGACATTGTATTTGTTCATGACGACCATAAGTCTGAGATTTACAGAATTCTCCTAATTTCATGTAATTATATTGACTCCTTTAAGGGGATTGAATAAATTAACAATGCATTCAATGAGGCATTCTTTCTTTGACACAGCTTTCTTATAAGTGAATTCTCAATCACTTTTCAGACTATGTGTCCTGATTTTTGGCTAAGGAAATTGGGTCACTGACCCTGATCATTTTTTTCAGGCTGTACTTGACCCAGATGAGGCCTTTATTTCTCTCTGAAGTTTCTTTTCCCTTTCTTTACTACCCTCCTGACATGTCTGATTACTGGGGGCGGTCTATGTGAAGGCGATTCTATGAGAGTGAAGAACCTAGATGTTTCTGTGCCCCGGGTCAGCAGGGTAGCTGTCGACAGAGCACTGATACAGCCGCAATGTCAGTACCCTGCTGAAAAAGTAGAAGGAAAGCTTCTTGCTCTCTGATCTCCTATACTCTTCATTAAGGACAGATGGGATTCAGCCTACTTGTTACTTCCTTTTCAGCTATTCGGGGGCTAGAGGAGAGGCTTTCTCAAAAGAATAGGTTCCTTCTTAGAGGTCCAGTGATCTCTGCAGACCAAGCCCTCTCAATGATCCATATTTTTCTGCTCTTCATCCTCGACTTCCCTGATACCTGACCCCAGATTTATATGTGACTCCACTTAGGATTCCTCACTTGAGCTCTCTTGGCATAACCTGGCTGGTCACCACAGAGGCTCCTGGCAAAGCACAGGGAATCAGGGACATTTTCTATCTATCATCTATCTAGAATTGCCTTCTTTCTAGGCCGAATGGTTGGTTCTTCCTTTATGACCGGTATTTAAAAAAACCTGTAGAACTTAAATTCTAAAGGACCACTTCCTGGTGTAGGGAAGTTCAGAATCAATGATGATGGATGGAAAATCACTTGATCTGGTAATGTTTAAACATTTCATTAGCATACCTGTACAGAAGTTTAAATTTCTATGAAATGTGATCTATGGATATTTTCTATAATGCTTTCTGACTGACATGCTTAAACAAACTATGACCATCCTAAATTTATTTAAAAATAACTTATCTTTTATTTTATTTTAAAATATTAAATATTATTTCACTTGGAATTTATTTTGTAACAGATATTAAGGTAGATGTCCACATTTGTTTGTTAATTTCTAAGTAACTCTCCATTTATGAAGGCACATTTAATTTTTTAACTTATCTTTTTGCCATTTTTGTTATAACTAAATTTCCATCAGTAATTTGTATGTTTGAACTTTCAATTCCATCCCATTGGTTTCTCTATCTGGACCTTTATAGTAGCACGCTTTTTCAATTAGTAAAGCGTTACACTTTGTCTTATTAACTGTGGAGGAAAAACACTCTTCATTCTGAGAATTTCAAGGCTTCCTTGAAGACCAAGATTATCTGCAGTATCCGATTTTGCCTCTAGAGGAAGACGTTACACAAATTGAACTTGACAGAAAGCCAGAAACCAACCAGCTCTTTGAGGAAGAGCTTTTGCTTTACACACTGGTAAACTCACTTACCACTCTGTCAGTGTCCATGTGGCTGAACTGTTTGCAGAAAAGAGCCTCCTGTTTCCTCTGCAGCTCGGACATGAACGCCACCCTCCTCTCAGTGCTGGGGATGATATTCACACTCAGTGAGTATAGTCCCCTTTTATTCTCTTTCTGTGGTCTTCTGATTTAGATTAGTTGAAAGGAATATTCTTCTCAGTCTGCAAGACTCTCCCTGATGCTAAATTGGTGTTACAGGAGGAACAGGAGCTCAGACAGTGACCCAGCCTGAGGACTGCATCTCCGTCTTTGAAGGGAACTTCGTGCAGGTCAAGTGTAACTACTCATATTCTGGGAGTCCTGTGCTCTTCTGGTATGTCCAGTACCCCAAACGAGGCCTCCAGTTACTCCTGAAACACATCTCAGGAGAGAGTATCAAAGGTTTCACGGCCAGCCTTAACAAGGATGAGACATCTTTCCATCTGAAGAAACAATCAGCTCAAGAGGAAGACTCAGCCACGTATTACTGTGCTCTGAGGGACACAGTAACTGGTTTCATAAGGGAAGCAGAGCACAAACCCTTTCTGGAGTTGCAGAAAGTATTTCCTCATAAGTACATTTTTTTTAAAGATTTATCTATTTTATAGAGAAGAAATGAGAGAGCGCACGTGAGCGGGGAGAGGAGCAGAGGGAGAGAGAGAGAGAATACCAAGCAGACTCCACACCGAGTATGGAGCTCAACATGGGACTCGATCTCAAGGCCCATTAGATCATAACCTGAGCCGAAACCAAGACTCTGACACTTAACTGACTGAGCCACCCTGTTGCCCCTCTTCATAAGTTTTCTATATGGCCATGGTGGGGCATTCTTTCTCTGGAGACTGACATTGAGTTTACTTCTTAGATATAATATCATTGGTTGTCAGTTAGCTATAGGTTAATCTCAAAAATTTGTCCAAGGAAATTCTCCTTACCTACTCTGTTTAATTAGTTTTAAAGATTTAAGTGTGTTTATTCTGTCCAGTAGTACCTGGAAAACGCACTTTTGAAATAAACTATATAGCACAACATAAAAAACATTTTTTTTCTTGGCCCAGGGCAACTCTCCAGTGGTTGGGTCTCACCTCTCCAACCCCCCTGCCACCCCATCCCACCTCACATGTGTTCATCACCCTATACCTAAGCACAGTTCCTTAAAACTACTGTACTCTTTCATGACATGTGATTGCTGGCCCCTCTGCATAATACCTTTCCTGTCATGTACTTCATAGACTCCTACTAACTCAATCAGGAGGAAAAAAAAAAAAACCCTCAGTAATCTGAACAAGGAAAGTTTAATACAAGTAATTATTAACTGATAATAGAGAATTAGCCACTAATGAATAAAAAGAACTCTAAAGAATGTAGAAATAGCATATGTAGGGAGAAGCTCTTATCTTAAGACTAAACCAGAGTTTCCAAGTAAGTGACCGTAATTCCAAGTAATAACGTACTCTCCGAGGATTCAGATCTCGCTGGGGAGTATGTGGCTGTAGCCTGTGGAATGGTGGAGAAGCGTGCCGAGGTGCCAGAGAAAAAGGCTGGCAAGCAGAAAAACACCTACCCGGGTTCCAACAAAGTTTATAGGAAGCTAGCAAAGGAGTGCTGCTGAAGTTGCTTGGGGCACTCATGACTCTGGCCAAGAAGCTGATGTGCGTCTGTCAATGAACCTTGCTGCAGGGGAATGCCACTGCTTGTCCCACAGGCTGGCCCAAAACTGCAGGAACAAGAAATGTGAAGACATACCAGAACCAGGAAGAGAAGTTCCTCCCTCCTGTGGCACCCTTCCACGTTCCTCTTATTGGCATAGCTTGATATCATGCCAGCTGGTAAAGGAGAGATCTTTCCATGGAACGGGTCCAATATCACAAAGGGGGCACTGAAGGGTGGATTTGGCAATTAGAAAGAAAGGCAATAAATCAGTAACTGACACACTTTATACCTGTGGTTACTTATCTTTCATATGCATCTCTGCACACACATTGGAACTTCTCAACAACAAGGAAATGACTCTATGTTACCATCTAACAAGCTAAAGCCGTCCTTTGAACAAGAGAAGTTCTTACCCTTTCCCCAAAATGAGACCTATAGTCCCAACAGCCACTATACATTTCTTGCTATATGAATCATTTCTAAAAATTCAGAGGAAATTCCACTGAATATGCTGTTATATACAGTCTAAATCACAAAGTTAATTTTTGACATTTTATATATAATGTGAGAAGGAGGGAGAAAGAAGAAAATGACAGCATATAGGGAAGAACATACATGTATAAAGAACAAAGAGAAGATCGAGAAAACTACTACATTCTTGGAGTCTAGATTTGGTCATGGGGCTGCAGCTGACACAGCTCTTTTCTGTTGCTATGCATTCTCTGTTTCCCTGCCCGAAGCCACAACCTTGCTGGGTTTGGGTTGTTTGCCTTGTGGAGTGACCCCAAACTTCATTCTCAAAGGGTCTGAGTCCTTAATGACCCTGCTTTTTCCTTTGTTGCTCTGGTATTCCATTAACATTTACAATGAAGTTTCCCTTTCACCCCAGCTAGCTCACCTCCCAGTTCTCCCCAGAGGTCAGCAATGTCTCTGTTTCCTTTTATTTTTTTTTAAGATTTTATTTATTTATTTGAGAGAGAGAGAGAGAGAGAGAGATCATGAGTGGAGGGAGGGGCAACAGGAGAGGGAGAAGCAGACTCCCCTCCTGAGCAGGGAGCCCAATGTAGGGCTTAATCCCAGGACCCTGGAATCATGACCTGAGCCAAAGGCAGACACTTAACCGACTGAGCCACCCAGGTGCCCCTCGGTTTCCTTTTTCTGCTTCTCAGTATATTTTTTGTGTATACAGCCAAATAGATACAAATAGTACGGGAATTAGAGTCTTGTGAGGCAGTAGACAAGTCCCTTAATTTCTTAGAGCCAGGGTCACCTTTTAACCACTAGTCAAAAATTTCCTCACAAATTGTTTCAAAAGTATGTAGCAGAGAGCAGACAGATTAAAATGTAAACTCCTTAAATAACATCAGTTTCTTCCTCAGAAAGCTATACTATTTCTTTTTCTCATAATGATAGACACCCAGGTTTGCTGTGGTAGTCACCCAACACAAACCTTCTTCTAGAAGTACCTCCTAGCCCTCTCCAATCTCCAGCCAACAACCTCTCCCCTTCTTCCTTTCTTTCCTGCTTTCCTTATTTTTCTTCCCTCCCCTCATCCCCATCTCTCTATTTTACACACAGAATATCTTAAAGTTGGTTTCTGAAACCATTTAGAAAATACTCTAGGGGATGTTGCCATTCCTTTTGACTGTTCAACATCAGGACCCATTTTCTTTTAACAACAATAATTTTTGAGTCATTAGTAAGTGTCAGGATCTGCTCTAAATAGCATTTTATTATCTCGGCAATCATTTACTAAACTCTAAGAAAGCAATATTATTATTACTCATCATCCACACTTTATAGTCAAGAGAATACAGATATAAATGATATAAACGGCTACTGAATGGTTAGATCTAAACTTGACCTCCCTGGCCTGATGGCAAAGCTGGTTCTCTTCTTGTACCCTACCGCCTCCTGCCATAGAAACAGAAATATCAGATACTCATTGCTATGAGATGAATTGTCTCCCCACCCAAATATGTATGTTCCTAACCCCCAGTACCTCAAAATGTGACTGTAATGGGTGTAGGGTTATTAAAGAGGTAATTAAGTTAAAATGGGATTGTTAGGTTGGGCCCTCCTCCAGTATGACTGGTGTCCTTATGAGAAGAGATTAGGATTGGACCACAGGCACAGAGGGGCAGTGAAGACATGGCGGAAAGGTGGGCATCCCTGCTTTATAATTGTTTCTGAATCGCCCATTTTACCTTTCCAGAGTCCCGTCTATCAGCAATATGATGTTGCTACCACAAGATGACAGTGTCTCTCCTCAGACTCAATAGGTTTGAAATTGTGGGTATTGAAAGCAAAGGATTGGGTTTGCTTCTGATTGGCCAGGTGAGACTCTGGCGTCCAGAGAGAACAGATAAATATACCCCAGAGAGAGCCAACTCTTTCAGTTGAGTATCCTGGCTGCATTTCAGGCCCCAGAGCGGAGTCTTCTGTGATCCCAAAAAGGAAGAAGAATGGAGAAACTCCTGGAAATGTCTTTGCTGATACTATGGCTTCAACTGGCCAGTGAGTTGGGGCTCTTGGTAATAGAAACAGTGTGACCAAATTTATGAGAACAGCGCGACCTAAGTTCAGAGCCCACGAGACTGAGTTTGGGCAAACTTTTTAAGTTGAAAATGTACCAGAAAATTATGGAAAGGAAATGTAAATACTAAAGAGTGAAAATAACAATGACTGACTCTCGGTGTCTGGGCTTCTGTTTTTGCTCAGGGGTGAAGAGCTAGCAGGAACAGTATCATTGGGTCCTGAGCATCCAGGAGGGTGAAAATGCCACTATGAACTGCAGTTATAAAACTTCTATAAGCAACTTATTGTGGTATCGACAGGACTCAGGTCGAGGCTTTGTCTGGCTGGTTTTAATCCATTCAAATGAAAGAGAGGAACACAGAGGAAGGCTACAAGTCACACTGAACAGCTCCATCAAAAGCAGTTCTTTGTCCATCATGGCCTCCCAGACTGCGGACACTGCTGCTTACATCTGTGCCATGGAACACAGTATTCACCAGGCACCTGCAGCCTCTGCACAAACTGCCCGAGTTGCTGCTTTGAAGCCCCACAGTGGGTAGCATTCGTGGTTATGTCTTCCCACGAAGGAAGAGTCTACAAAAAGCAGGCAAGATGAAAGATGGACCCTCTCAAATTCACGGTTTCTTTGGAAGCAAAGAACTTGTACCAGGGCAAAGGGCATGAAGTCTAGAACAAGAAGCTGCAATGTTGGGTTCGGATCTGCCAGTCCTGGCTCTCTGGCTTTGGGTAGAGCATCATTGTAGCAGCCTCCCATTTCCTCCCTGGAAATGAAGGGTTTGGATTGATGAGCCCAAAAGACCCTTCAAGCTCTAATTTAATCAGGGAAAAAGCTAAGCACTGGACACTCCTGGAGGATAAAGAAGGAGTTCTCAGTATTAGAAGGTCTCATATGTGCAAGCCCCTGGTAATCCAGATGGCTCCTTGAGATGCATGAGATGATTTTTACCTCCCTCCAATTCCTGTCTAGGAAAAAGAATTAGAAAGGATCTTAGAACTCTTTCAGCCAAATTTATCATTTTAAAGCTGAGGAGTGGAAACACTGTGCACCAATAGAGACAAAACTCCAAATCTCATTCTGCATTTACTAGTCATGTGATTTCCAAGCCTCAATCTCTCCATAAATCAAATGAGAACTTATGAGATGAAGTCATAATTTCTCCCTATCCAGCTGAGAGAGGCATGCTCTCCACTGTCAGACCCTGAAATTTGATTTTTAAAAAGTGGGTACTTCTATTATCAAATACATAGCAGTTGAATACAGTTTTCAAGTATAATTAACATACAGTGTTATATTAGTTTCAGGTGTACGATATAGTGATTCAACAATTCTATACCGTATTTCACCCATCTCCCCACCTACCTCCCCTCTGGTGACCATCAGTTTGTTCTCTATAGTTAAGTCTGGTTTTTTGTGTGGTGTTTTGTTTTGTTTTGTTTTGTTTTTTGCTTATCTATTTTTTCTGTGTTCACTTGTTTTGTCTTAACATAAGATGTAATGAAATCATATTGTATTTGTCTTTCTTTGATTTATTTCGCTTAGCGTTATACCCTCTAGATCCATCCATGTTGTTGCAAATAGCAAGATTTTATTCTTTTTTGTGGCTGAGTAATATTCTATTATATCTATATGTGTCTGACAGCTTCTTTATCCATTCATCATCAATGGACACTTGGGTTGCTTCTATACCTTGGCTACTGTATATAATGTTGCTATAAACATGGAGGTGCACATATCTTTTCAAATTAGTGTTTCCCTTTTCTTTGGGTAAATATCCAGTAATAGAATTACTGGATCATATGGTTTGAATGTAGTTTTCTTAATTAAGTTTTGATAATACTGAAAATGTGTTTGTGGAGAAAATTGGGCATTTGTATTTATGTACATGTTTGGTGAAAAAGGTGGGGGAAGATAGAGGAAACGTTATACAGGGCAGTGGTTCCCAAATGCCAGACTTCAACCATCAATGTCACCTAGAGCACCTCTGAAGATCTGGATTATTAGGCTCTATCCCAGCTTACTCACTCAATCTCTGATGGAAACAATGAATTTGTGTTCTTAATGAAATTCATCTGTATCATTTAGAGATTGGTTCAGCCTCATATTACATAAGACTCAAATGATAATATATTTTTTTAAAGATTTTATTTATTTACCTGGCAGAGAGAGAGAGACAGCGAGAGAGGGAACACAAGCAGGGGCAGTGGGAGAGGGAGAAGCAGGCTTCCCGCCGAGCAGGGAGCCCGATGCGGGGCTCGATCCCAGGACCCTGGGATCACGACCTGAGCCGAAGGCAGTCAAATGATAATATTTTTAACAGGGTGAAATTTATTTTCCTCTCATATAAAGAAGCTCTATCATATGCAGGGCTGGTATGCTAGCTTCATCATTTTAGGAAGGATTGAGGATCTTTCTAGCTCACTGTCTCTCATCCTTAAGGTGTCACTGTTGGTTTTATACTTTAAAGAAACTGCTAGAGATCTGTCCACTTTATACACCCTCTAGGCAGAAAGAAAGAGAAAGTCAGAGGGCAAATAGGCACATGATGGCCGAGTCGATCTTTTCCAGAAACAACACCCAGTGGCTTCTATTTCCACTTCATTTACCTGAGTGTTATTTAATGTCTCCACCTCTCTCCCATCTGCAAGGAAGGTTGAGATATCAGGGCTATTTTTTATCTTAACATGTTGCCACGCACATTAAAA